AAATTGGTATGAATAGTATTAATTAGTATTTATTTTGGGGCAGTAATTATTCACTTGATCTTAGCCAAAAGGCCGAGAAGTGATGGGTAGTAATTATTCAGATTCAGGCAACTAAGTAAATTTGGTCCATTTATTGACTTTTTTAGTAAAAAGACTGATAGAGGTGCTTAGATCCACTTGTCCCACTGATGGTACAAGCTGCCCAATAGGAGACATCTTAACACGTTCCTGCTGGCTTGAACCACTGGTGGCACCACTGGTGGACAAATGGATCTAAGCACCTCTATCAGTCTTTTTACTCATGAAATTAGTATCTCAGGTATCTTTGAGTCATTTGTCACTGACATCAGCTTTATCTTCTAGTTCTGATACTGTGTCCTCACATTGTTGGCTAGTGCTGCTTATACCTTAAGTAGAATTTTTAATCTATTGGATTTCTGTTTGGTACCTTGTCATAGATTCTAATGCTTTGTGAAACTGCTTATTCATGTTTTATATCATTTTGTTTAGCTCAGCTAGCTTTTTATTTGTGTCATCTGTAAACTCACCTGTTATTTTCTAAGTCAGTTATCTGTTTAGTAACATCATCTTTGTGCTTGCTGATCACTTTATTGATCTGTTTTTTTATTTGTTTGTTTGTTTTTTGGTACCAGGGATTGAACCCGGGACCTTCCCCTTGTGAGGTAGGCGGTGAAACCACTGAGCTAAATCCCCAGCCCTGATCTGTTTTTTAAAGTCATAAAATTCAGCCTTTATTGATTTGTTTTTTATCTCCTCTTCTATCATTTTGAATAAGTGAACTTTGTGACTTTTGATTTTCTCCTTTCCAATGCCCCATTATCAGTCGGCTTTGGGGTTTTAGGAGCCATTTTGTTACCTTGTTTTCTTATGTTTCTGTTGTTCTTTGTTTTGTGCTGAGGTTTGCAGGTTGATTATAGTGGAAAGGCTTTGTTGCTATTATGGAGACCCCTTTAGTTAGTGTCTGCTTTTCTGTGGTGCACTCTGGGCATGGCTAACTATGGTTTTTTTTCTTTGTCCCAAGATCTAACCACCTTGGTTAATTTGGGGGTGGCTATAGTGTATTTGGCCCAACACCCAATTCTCTGGGAATGGACTGTAGTATTATTGCTTACACAAAGGCAATCCCAATATTGGCATACAGAAAAAAGCAATAGCAACAACTATGCCACCCTGGCAGTAGCAACAAAATCTGAAGTAACAATGACATCAAAGACAAACTGGATATTGACATACCCTAAAAACCAATTATATACCACCTTCAACCATAGAAAAGGGAGCTATAATTGTAGGATAAACATTAAGACAAACCAAATATTGACATACAGTAAATATCTACTATGTCTAACAACCATACCTCCACTAATAATAGGACAATATTCAGCAGTAATAGTATAGAGTTAACTATTATTAAAGCTTAATGGTTGTACTAGTAAAGATAGAAGGTATGGGGAACAGGAGAATTAAAAAAGTAAAATTTGAAAAATTAAGCAATGGAAGATGAGGAGAAAAAAGTGAGACAGAGTAGAAGTAAATTAATAGACTTAGCTAAAAGTAACAGAATGGAGCAAGCAAGTAAAAGAAGAAGAAAGAAAAGACAGAACAAAATAAAGGGAAAAAATGAAAAAAATAAGAGATTAAAAAATTGAAAAGGAAGAAAGGAAGAGAAAAGTGGAGAAAGAAACCTCAAACCCCAAAAAACCAATGAAGGGAAAAAAATGAGTCAAAAAAACATTCTCTCTGGTTTTTAATGGTTTCTTTGCATTTTTGGAAAATTTTTTTTTTCTTTCTTTTTTGGTACCAGGGATCGAACTCAGGTCCTTCGGCTTGCGAGGCAGGCAACAGAACCACTGAGCTAGATCCCCCTCCCTTTCTTTGCATTTTTAATGGCTTCTTTCCAGCGTCTGTAGTCTTGAAATCTAGCGAGTCAGGATTTCCTTAGGCTAGCTCTATTGTCTGTGGGTTTGTGAGGTACTCTTGGTCCAGAGTCCCCTCTGTCCATGTACCCGAGACAGGCAGCTCTCTAAGTTGAGCGTTTCCTTGCTCACTTTGGTAGATGGGGAAAACAGACCACTGATCTGTGCTAGATGTAGGCAGTGGGGGAGATTCAAGCAGACTGCTGGACTCCAGCTATCTCTGAAAGCCACATTAATGGGTCTTGCTTCTCACCATGGAGGATGAGGCCCCTTGTCCTTCCTACCCTGAACTTAAACTTTTCACAGGGTCTATATCTAGTTCACCCTCTCTCTGCAACTGTCTTTTGTGACTGTCTCACTCAGTCACTGTGGTAGGGTAACTCTGGAAACCCTGAAGTTCTGTGGCTCAGTCTTAAACCGTTCACCTCCTTCCCCAAATGGCTCCTTATTAAACCCTCTCAAATATGGGGGCGAGGGTCTGCACTGAATTTTTCCTTTGACTCTAGCCTGCCATGCAAAACAGATCACTTTTGGAAAACCCTATGCTGTTTTTGCAGTTTTCATGAGCCATGGGCCCTTCTTAGGGCTAGTGCTGCTGGCCTGATCTATTGTTTCTCCCTGGAGCTGTGACCTCCTAAGCTTACCTTCTCTCCCCAGGCCCTCGACATGATTAGGTTAGTTGCTGCCTCTGCTACTCTGTGCTGAGAGGAAACAATGCAAAGTGTGTCTGGAATTGTCCAGCAGCTGTGGCCAGGGTGCCAAATCTGTGAGCACAGAGTTGGCCATAGCTTCCTTCTGTTTTCATGTCATCTTTTTAAAATTTCACATATTAAAGGAAGACATGTGATACTTACCTGAATCTAGTTTATTTCACTTAACATGATTGATCTCCATTTCCATCTATTTCCCTACAAATGAAATGATTTCATTCTTCTTTACAGCTAGGTAATACTCCATTATCTACACACACCACATTTTCTTTATCCATTCATCTGTTTATGGGCACCTAGGCTGGTTCCATATCTTGGTTATTATGAATTGTGCCACAGTAAACATGGGCATGCAGGTATATCTATAGTATGGTGAATTTAATTCCTTCTGGTATATACTCAAGAGTGGAATAGCTGAGTCATATAGTAGTTCTATGTTCAGTTTTTTTTCAGAAACCTCTATACTGATTTCCATAGTGGCTGTACTAATTGTATTCCCACTAGCAGTGTAGAAGTGTTCCTTTCTCCCCCTCCCCCACCCCACATCTTTGCCAGCATTTATTGCTTTCTGTATTGATGACAGCCATTCTGACTGGCATGAGATGGAATCTCAATGGTTTTGATGCTCACTTCCCTAATGGCTAAAGATGTTGAATATTTTGTCATATACCTATTGCCCTTTTTTCTTTTATTTTGAGAAGTGTCTTTTTAATTCATTTGTCTGTTTCTTGATTAGGCTATTGGATGTTTTTGGTGCTAAGTTTTTAAAGTTATCTATGTTCTAGATATCAATACTCAGTTGTAAGGGTAGCTGAAAAAGATTTTCTTCCATTCTGTAAGCTATCTCTTCACTCTGTTGGTTGTTTCCCTTGTAGGCAGAAACCTTTTAATTTGATGTAGTATCATTTATTGACTCCTGGTATTATTTCCTGTGTGGTTGGAGTGCTAGTCAGGAAGTCTTTGCCTGTGGCTATGTGCAAGTGTTTCCCCTATATATTCTTATAGAAGTTTCAAAGTTTCAGTTCCTATAGCTATGTCTTGATTTTTTTTTAACAGAGTGAGAAATAGGGATCTGGCTTTAATCTTCCACATATAGATACTCAATTTTCCCTGGGATCATTTTTTAGGAATGCTGTCTCTTCTTCTCCAGTGTATATTTTTGGGGTTTTTGGCAAGAATCAGATAGCTGTAGTTGCATGGGTTTGTTTTTGTATCCTTCATTCTGTTGTATTGATCTATGGGTCTGTTTTTGTGCCATGCTATTTTTGTTACTGTGGCTTTGTGGTATAATTTGAAATTGGATGTTATGATACTTCCAGCCTTGCTCTTATTGCTTAAGGTTGCTTTGGCTATTCTTGGCCTTTTGTGTTTCCCTATGAATTTTAGAATTGTTTTTTATAGTTCTGTGAAGCATATCATTGGAATTTTGATGAGAATTGTATTGGATCTATAGATTGCTTTCAGTAATGTGGCCATTTTAACAGTATTCTGCTGATCCACGAACATAGGATGTCTTCATCTTCTAGTGTCTGCTTCAATTTATTTCTTCAGTGTTCTGTATTTTTCATTGTAGAGGTCTTTCACCTCCTTTTTTAGATTGATCTCTAGGTATTTTTTTGAAGCCATTATGAATGGAATTGGTTTCCTGATTTCTTTCTCAGATAGTTCATTCTTGTTATATAGAAAAACTTTTTTTTTGATACTGGGGATCAAACTCAGGACCTTGCCTTTGTGAAGCAGGTGCGGCACCACTGAGCTATATCCCCAGCCCAACTATTGACTTTTTTAAATGTTGATTTTGTATCCTGTGGTTTCTTAATATTATTTTCCATCAAGCTATCATTGAAGATATAAAAGCTGTATAGCTTTTGAAAGAAGTATGTGCCCATGAAGCACAATAGTATGGTGAAATTAATTTTGACTTTTTAATTGGAGTCATATTTTCATTGATTGGCTATTTTAAGAGTACCTAATAACCTCCTTGAAACATTTTGAATAATAGGAGAAAAATAGACACTTTAATCACTTATTGCCGGGTGTGGTGGCACACAGCTGTAATCCCAGCACTCAGGAGGCTAAGACAGGAGGATCTCTGAGTTCAAGGACAGCCTGAGCCACACAGTGAGCTCAAGCCTAAACTACACAGTGAGACTCTGTCTCAAAAAACCAAAAAAAGGGCTGGCGATTTAACTCAGTGGCATCATGCCTGCCTTGCAAGCGCAAGGTCCTGAGTTGAATCCCCAGTACTGGAAAAAAAATAAATACAAATAAAAAACCAGAAAAAGAAAAATAAGAATTTGAAAATAAAATAAAATAAAAATCACTTATCTTGTTGGGTGGGGGAATCACTTGCAAGGTCTACTCAAGTCCTCCTATATGCTCTGTGGATCAAGTATTTGCTGGATTTCGAACACGAAGTCAGATGTTGTTGGGTCACATAGAAGAACAAGATGAAGTCCTCCACTGCCAATTTTCTGATAAAAGTGATGATGAAGAATCAAGTCAAGAGAAACCCAGAATTAGGTATGTTAAATATAGTGTCATTTAATAAACATTATTATAATTAAATGATGCAATAAATACAGAAGATGCAGGTTTTTTTCATTGAAGTGTATCTTTTCTACTTAACAAAAAAGTGGGTAGTTCTTGTTAAATGTACTATCATATCATGATAGTACATATCATCAGTCTTACAAATGATAGTACATATCATCAGTCTTACAAATGAAAAGCAATTTTGCTTTCAGATTTTTTGTAGTTACTAGATTCTAATTTTGCAAGGGAATTTTTTGAATTTCCTGATTCTGCTGCCTCATTAGTAACAAACATGATCAATTTTCTACTGGATCCAACATTGGGAGGAGGCTCCTCCAATTTGAGGAATATTAGTAAAAGTCTGCTTATTTTATGTACTTAATTTTTTAGCATTATGATTACTTTTTGAAGAAAGTAATTTGAGGGTAGATTCAGAAACGTGAACAAACAAGTGAGTTTGATTCATACCTTTTCCTTTTTTTTTTTTTTTTTAATGTAGAAGTCGCTCATGGGATAAAAAACCAGATTCTGTTTGTTCTCTTTTTGAGTTGAATGATACTCAGGATGAAACACAAAACTCAAATTTGGAGAATGAAGGTATGATTTAATGAATATAAGACACTTTAAAAAAATTTTTTTCAGTAGATAATTTAAGAAGCATCTAGGAATTCTCAGAACCTGAAGTTAGTAGGAATGCTTTCCTTCTTGGTATAACTTCCTGTATATTTTCTCTTCTACCTTTAGTTTTTCACTCCTTTATTCCTTGGTTTAAAAAAAGTTTTTCTACAAATCAGTTCTGGCTAGAGCTATAGGCTGACTCTCAAAATAAGGATTTTTATATTCAGACCTGACTTGATATAAATGTTTGTACCTTTGTTAAAAGTACGTTGTATATGATCTAGGTGTCTACTTGCCTCAGTGCTGGCACACATGCCTACCATTAGTGATATATTTTGCATTACAGTCTTAATTTTTCTATTGTGTGCTTTTCATGTTTTAGAATAAAATTGATGAGAATTTTTATGCATCAAAAGCATTTATGTTGCAGAAAATATAATAGTATAATATTATACTATATATAATATAGTATAATAGCAATCGTATATGTTAACTCATCTCTCTTGGTCCGTGAGTGGTCGATATACATTAAACAAAAGTAAAGTTGGGCCGGGGGTTTAGCTCAATGTTTCTACCACCTGCCTTGCAAGCGCAAGGTCCTGAGTTCAATCCCTGATACCAAAAAAAAAAAAAAGTAAGGTTATAGAGAATATAACATGATGAAAACAGCATCTTTTAAAAAGTTATCCATATAATACTTACCAAAATTTGACTGTGTGGTCAAGTAAAAGTAAAATAGTTTTAACAGTGTTGAAAGAGTAAAGGTAAGTGCTATGTGAGTAGCCGTCCTTGAGCCATTGGTGACTGGTCTGCAACCAGGAAGGAAACTTATGCCAGAATATAAACGGTTGCACTCATTCCTTCATTGAGAATGCCTTGCTATGAAAAAGTTAGCCTAAGGAAAAGTGTGCTTAGTGACACAGCTGATTTGGAGTAGAGGGCAGGACAGTAACTAACAGTGCTGGAACACAGGTTAGCAAGATAAAGATGGCATTCTCTGATGACAATAAAATTAGAACTTAACATAAAAAAATTCACACTTCTTCCCACCTGGAGATTTTATACATATCTCAAATAATGCCAGTTAAAGACAGTGACAAACTGTATACAAACCTGTGCGATGTGACAAAAGTGTGTACATGTGTGCATTTTTTTCCAGTATTGGCCTTCACACTGAGCTACATCTCCAGTACTTTTTATTTCGAGGCAGGTTCTCACTACAACACTACACTGCCCAGACTGGACTCAAAATTGTGATCCTCCTGCCTCAGCCTCTCAGTGTTGGGATTATAGGCATGCATCAGCCACCCTAGTTCTTTTTTTTCTTAATCTAAAAATATTTTAAGGAAATGAAAATATACTGTAAGCTAGAAGCCCAAACTCCCGAAAGTTGTGTACTTTTCCCTCTTTCCTTTCCTTCTTCTTTGTCCCTTCCTCTATCTCTAAATTAGTTTTATTCTACTTTTCTTTTTAAACTCTATTTCTGTTGAATATTTTATGAACAGATATTTTTGTTTCTTGGCTTTGTTTCTTTTATTTTAAAGATTTACAGATTGAATGTCTCCAGGAGAGTCAAGAGTTGAATTTACAAAAGTTAAAGAATTCAGAACTCATACTTAATAAAGTTAAACAAAGAATGAATGAACTTACAATTAACATCAAGATGAAGGAAGATCTGATTAAAGAACTAATAAAAACAGGTAATGGTATCCTGTGAGCCAGCTTATATGAGAAAGAAATGCTTCTAAAATTGCTTCTGATGTGACATCTACTTTAGTTTTTGAAGCTCAGCACTATCCTCTGTAACTTGGATTAGGTGTAACAAGCTGTGTTTTAGAGCAAAACATAGAGATTGATTATCCAAAAAACTCTATTATGCTGGGATTTAACCTACAAATTGTTCTAGCCCGTGTAAGTGCTGTGTTGTGCTGAAACTCTATGTCACTTCATTTCCCCTTTCCATTTTAAAAGTCATGTACTAGGCATCTAGGAATATATCCAAGATTTTTTTTTTTTTTTTTTGGTACTGGGGATCGAACTCAGGACCTTGTGCTTGCAAGGCAGGCGGTGGAACCACTGAGCTAAATCCCTGGCCCCTCCAAGATGTTTTTCTAAATTACTTTAAATTATTATTTTTCATTGACTTAGTTCATTTTAATTTTCATTTTAAACATTTTATTTTGTTTTTTTGTGGTTTTTTTGAGGCAGGGCCTTACAGTGAATCCAAATTGGCCTTAAATTCCTGATCCTCCTGCCTCAGTTTGCCATGTGCCACCACGTTTAGCTAAAATTTATATTTCAGATGTAGATAGTTTTTTCTCTAAGATATAAGGATTTCCTCTCCTAGGTGAGCCAGACGTTTAGCTTTTCTCCTTTGTCTCACATCCCAAATTAGGGAGATTCTCTCCCTATCCCTAGCTACATCAGTTTTGCCGTAAAACACACAGCTCAGGCTTTGGACTTTTTTTTCCCTCGCAATATACAGTAAAGGATCAATCTTCATTACATCAAAATTCAAGAAAGAATAAGAGACACTAGCATTTGTTTTCTCCAGCTCCAACGCAAAACAACTCTGGCCTCATTTGGAGGAGCCAAAGAAAATACTGTTTCCCTTCTCTTCCAGCCCAAGGCTGTAATCACACTCAAATGACTCAGTTATGGTGAGAAGAAAGTTGCCTTCCCACTTCCTCCTCTTCCTACGAGTGTCGTTTCTAGCTGATGGTCGGCCTTTCTCAAGCTCTTCTGCCTCCCCAAAGCTTTCCCTCCCTTCCTAGTGATGTGTGTGCTGCACATCTCCCTAACTCCAGTTATCCCAGGTGTTTGGGTCTGACCACCCTTCCTCATGGGTAGGATGAAATGCTCCCTGACTCCAAAGCTTTAAATGGCTTCTCCACCCCACAACTGCAAGACAGTGCTTGTGGAACTTGGGAACATTTACCCCATAAAAAGAGAGGTTATCTCACCATAGATCTCACTGAATAAGCATGCATTTGTAGCCTGGTGTACCCTTCCTAGTTGCTTTAAAATAGAGGACACCTGAGCTTACACAAAGCTAATCTTCTTACTCCTCAGAACCAGGGATGGTTTGGAGCTTTCCTAGAGAGTCTCAGAGATGGTGCTTGACAAGAGGGCCAGTGCACACATGCTTTTTAAAGTCTTCTTACTGAAGATTTCTCCCAAATTGCAACCACTTTCGCCCGCAATAAGAAAGCATATATACTATGTTGCAATTCTAATACACTTTTTCATATCTTAATATTTCCAAAATCAGGGTATGTCTTAGAATTGGTAGGAGCTTAGCATTTTGCCATGGTGTAGTTGATGCTGAATTTTTCTTCTTAGTAGCTCATAAACTATTGGTCTGGTGAATAATTAATGAACAATTCAAGATTTGTTAAAACACATAGTAGTCATCTTACCTCACACATGCACTCCTTACCACTGAGCTATACCTCCAGTGCCAGTTGTGTGTATTTTATAGTTAAGAGTTTGAGATAAAGATAGTTCACAGTGCATTTAGTTCAGTAACTTCTTTTTATTAAAAATCACGGGATTTGCCATATAGCAGTATAACAAGTTGTGTAAGAGTATCATAGACTGTCCCTGGTGATATTCATCCCCTAAATGAGACTCCTATTTCCCACTGCCATGAGTTTGCCAGTCTAGTTCAGGAAGTTTCTTGTTCAAAATCAGTCAAAACCAAACCTTTAGTCAGTACCTTGGGTTAGAATGAAAAGAAACTAATTTAGTATGTTCTGTTTTTAGTGTGTTCTAAATATTCCTATAAAAGCATTTAAAACAGTCCATCTTTAGCAAACCAGTGTAATGAAAAAGACAGCCACCTCTATATTAAAAGATTCTTAAGGACCATAATAACCAGATACATTGTAGACTTTGTCTAGGTCCTGATTAAAATAAACCAGTTATAAAAGACATTGAGTCAGTTGAGGAAGTCTGAATACAAACTAGTGGGAATTAATATTGTTAGGTGTGATAATGACTTTTTCATTATATCCACATTTTGTATGGATGCTTATTGAAGTTTTAAAAAGTGAGAATAAAATATCAGATTTTTTTTTTATTTTTTTCAGATTATTTTTTAATATTTAAGCAAAGTAAACAAAGCTCATTGAAACAACTGATGAAATGTTCATAACTTTTTTTTTGTTCATAACTCTTTAAGCAGCAGTTGGGGTTGATTTTATTATTTCTTTATTTTTGATATGCTTAAAATTTTTCATAATAATTTAAAAATTTTTCTAATTCAAGAAGGTAGATGGTGGGTAGCAGGAAGCCAGAGTATACTAAGCAAGAAGATAAAGTCATTGCTAATATCCTGCTTAACTGGAGTTTGATGCCAGGAGAACGCAGTTGTAAATTCAGGGGATCGAAAATATCATTAAAAAACCTGAAAAGATAAACTGGGTGAGATGATGTAGTGGTGCCAGATGGGGACAGCTGTTAAAGGGCATGGTGGCGTGCTGTGTTTGGGGCAGCCGAAGTCCGCTGGGTTTAACGTTGTACCTTAAACAGTGACTCTGTCCAAGTGGACTTTTAGAGCAGAGCACTTCTATGTTTTTACATAATTTAAAGTTGTTGTTATTGTTATTATGGTGAAGGTAATGATGCCAAGTCTGTGAGCAAACAGTATTCTCTGAAAGTAACAAGACTGGAGCATGAGGCAGAACGGGCAAAAGTCGAGGTAACTGAGACAGGAAGGAAGCTGGAGGAGCTGGAGAACAAAGACCTTTCTGATGGTGCAGTGAAGATAAAACTGCAGAAAGAATTCCGCAAAAAGATGGATGCTGCAAAGCTGAGAGTCCAGGTAACTTTAAAATGTACTTGCGAAAACTTTTTAAGCCTTCCTTTCTTAAATAAGAAATTCTTCCTTATTTAGGAATCCTTAAGGATTCTTGTAACAAGTCTGGAGAGGAGTGGGATTCAGTTTTAATTGAATGGCAAATTTTCTTTCCCAGTGAATGCACTGGCTGGTTTACATATTTTATAATCTGGATAGTATATTTCTTTATTCAAGAAGTATATTACTTTTGGGTTGGTGGGTAGCTCAGTGATATAGTGCTTGCCTAGCATGTGTGAGGCCCAGAGTTCAGTTCCCTGCACCACATACATACATACATGCAGACAGACAGACAAGGAGTATATTACTTCAGTCTTGATATCAAAAACTACATGGAGGGAAATAAGAATAATGATAACCATAGAAATAGTATCCTTTCCTGAGAGACAAAAGATTGAATCATGGTCAAACAATACACATAAACATCAGGTTTTATATATGTGGAACTTTGTAGACGCTGAACAAGTGGAGACTAGTTTGGACAGTTTTCTGAAACCCTAACTGATTGGTTTAAGAAAGATTAACAACAACATCACATCTTAGTACTTTCCTAATGCCTGAATTTAGCTATAACTTCAGAAGTAGCTGTAGTTAAAAATTCTCTTCTGGGGCGGAGATTTAGCTCAGTGATGCTGCTGCCTGCCTTGCAAGTGCAAGGTCCTGAGTTCAATCCCCAGTACCAAAAAAAATTCTCTTCTGCTGGGGATATGGCTTAGTGGTAGAGCACTTGCCTAGCATGCATGAGGTCCTAGGTTTGATCCCCAGCACTGAAAAACAAACAAACAACTAATCTGTGAGAAATATTTTGTTTCAGAGAGATTTTTTTGTGTAAGGAAGGTATTTCCACATATAGGGTCAGCTTTGTTAATCTGATCATAATGAATTTTCTAGAATGGTTCCTCCTGTTCTTTTTCTCTCTTAATCCACTGCTTTTATATTGTAGAAACATATTTTTTCCATTACAGAAGAGGTGAATTGTAGGCAACATATTCAGGGCATTGTGATTTTGGGGTAGCTATGCTACCATTACTTGTTTTTCATCAAGACAAATGTCTATTCCACATCTCTAGGTTGCCAGGTCTTGTCACAGGTAGGGGATGCAGAGATGGCCAGGCCAAAGAATCCCTCCTCCTCCAATTTTCATTACCACCTCAAACATCTGCATATCTCCACCTTCCAATTTCCTTCACAACATATATTTTGATTTAGAAATTTACTTCTAGAGTCTTGGGATAAATTCTCTTTCATTTCCTGATCCTTTAAATTAGAGCTATAATGTCTAACAGAGTACTCGTTTTAACTGGACATTAGAATAACACAAAATTTGTTCTTTGTGTTTTTTATGAAATTTTATTTATAATTGCACAGGTTTATATCCTGATTTTAGTTCTGATTGCATTTCTTTTGTTTGTTTGTTTGTTTTTGGTACCGGCGATCAAACTCAGGACCTTGTGCTTGCAATGCAGGTGCAATGCCATTGAGCTAAATCCCTGGCCCACTCATTCACAATTTATGTAGTGGTGGCGAAAATATCAGTTTTCAGTACTCTGACATGTGCCATTTAAAAATATTGAAAAGGCGTTTTTTTTTATTAGTATAGTACAGTTATTTTCATTTTTAACACTTAATATATTTAAAATTTTAAAACTAAAATTTGCATTTTATTTTCATGTCTTTAGCTATATGTAGAGAGTTCTATGCAGTAGGAATAGTTTAGCACTCACAAAGGTACACTTTGAAGCATCTTGAATAAGTGCAAAAGACATTAGCAACCTTATCTGACTTTTAAATAAGTATATCAGTATGTACACTAATGTTTTCTATATTACTTGAAAAAGATTTTAAAATGTTGATATTGTCATTTTTGCTGCATTATTTCAATTTCTGTCAATGTTAAGTGGCAAAGTCAGTGTCCCAATTCCAGGTGTGGGAAACTTTGAAGGCCTGTGGACTACAAGCCAGTGCTACCCATCTGCAGATTTTTTTTTTTGGTACTGGGGATCAAACTCCGGACCTTGTGCTTGTGAGGCAGGTGGCAGAACCATTTTGAGCTAAATCCCCACCTCCCCATCTGCAGATTTGAATTCTTACCTGCTGTGAAATTAGGTCAATCAGCACACAGCTTCCTTCATCAAAATAGTCTTGCATGGTTGGGCATAGTGGTGCATGTCTGTAATCTCAGCACTCTGAGAGGTTAAGGCAGGACCAGGTTGAGGCAAGTTCAAGACCAGCCTGGGCAACAACTTATTGAGACCCTGTCTCAAAATTAAAAAATTAAAAAGGGCTGAGGATATAGCTCAGTACAGAGAGCCTGGGTTCAATGCCCTATACCAGGAAAAAGAAAGAAAAGAAAGAAGAAAGAGAGAGAAAAAGGAAGGAAAGAGAAAGAAAAGTCGTAAAGGCATGAAAACAATCTCAACTAAATCTAATAGTGCGCTTAGTAGTACAGACAACAGTTTGTAAACTGGCACCATGCAGACCCACAGACACTGTGAGTACTTAATTAAAATGAAACCTGCTATTTAACAGCCTATTGCTAAAATAAAGGGAAAAAGTAGTTGTTGTCTTCATAATTTACAAATAAGCTCTCCTTAAATTTTTATATGACCCAAGAAGTACTTAGTGCAACGCTAAGCCCATAATACAAGTTTAATATATGTTCATTTATTTGATCAAGATTAAATTGTAACACTCTGGTATTTTACCTCAATAGCACAAGCACTTTGAAAATGTTAGCAAAGTTTTAATATTACCTATAGACAATTTTAGTTAAATGTTAAAATAATAATGATTACTCAGAGAAAGTGATATCAATCTGATTATCTTAATTCAGGGATTAATGATTTAGGCTACAGCTGGATATAAATACAAAAGCACAGTGGAATACTGTACAGCCTAGAAAGAATAAATCTTAGACATCTAAGATAAGTTAAATAGAGAGCTGGGCATGGTGGTGAACACCTGTAATCCCAGCACTTGGGAGGGTGAGGCAGGAGGATCACTGTGAGTTTGAGGCCTACCTGGGCTACATAGCAAGACCCTGTCTCAAAAAAAAAAAAAGAGAGAGGGAGCGAGAGAAAGAGAGAGATGGAGCGTAACCTAAGTAAAATATACATGAAGCTAGAGGTCCCATTTGGCCCAGCTATTCCCCTGCTCGGGATCTTCCCCAAAGAATTAAAAGATCATACCACAGAGATATATGCCCACCCATGTTTATAGCAGCACAGTTTGTAATAGCTAAAGCTTGGAAACAGCCCAAGTGCCCATCAATTGGAAACTGGATCAAGAAAATGTGGGGTTTAAAAAATAAAATGAAATACTACTCAGCCATAAAGAATGAGAAATTAGAGACATTTGTAGCTAAATGGATGCACACTGAGGCCATACTCTTCAGTGAAATAAATAGGACACACATGTAAATACTGAATAGTTTCTCTGGTATGAGAAACTGAAAGTGTAAATAAGGATTAAAATGAATAATTGATAATGTGAAATAGGAAGAAAAGGTCTAAAGGGGTAGGGGAAATGGGAGGGGTAGGGGAAAGGAAAAAAGGGAAAGGAAAAAATATGAGATAAGGAATAAATGGAAACAAAGCCTTTAAATAGGGAGGGGTGGAGGGGTTGAAGGGAGGGCAGGGGAAGGGGGAAAAATAAGAACCAAGATCCATCATGTAAAGGCACAAGTTCCTTTGATGAATGTAAATGTATTGTATACCTAAAATGTACCAATAAAAGAATTTAAAAGAAAAAAATATACATGAAGCTGTTTTCATGCGTGTATATATATAAATTATTTCTGGAAGACTATTTAATCAATTAGTAATTTTGTGTCAGGGAGCAGGACAGGTAGATAAGGGATTGGGACAAAAAAATTCAGTCTGGTACTGTTTTAAATTTTTCCATGTACATATATTTTAAAAATTAAAATTATTAATAAGAAAATAGAGCAGTCTGTTTCGCTGTGGTTGTCAGCATTAGGAAATCTTTTGGGAGGGCAATACCAGGATCAAACTCAGGATCTTGCACTTGTCAGGCAAGCATGGCACCAGAGAGCAAAATCCCTGGCCCTTGCATTAGGAAATCTTATTCTTTAGTTGTTTACGTATCTGATGAAAATTATGTTTTCCTCATCTGCAAAATTAGAAATGTTGAAGAGTAAACAGTTGCTTGTGAACCTATCAAAAATAAATGAAAATGGGCCGGGGATTTAGCTCGGTGGCACTGGATCTGCCTTGCAAGTGCAAGGTCCTCAGTTTGATCCCCAGTATCAAAATAAACAAATGAAAAAATGAAAATGGGAAAATGGCTCCCCTGAATGGGAAGGTGCAGTTTAGTTGGGAAATGTAAGAGATGCACATTTTCATTTTGAAATATCTGTATGCTCTCAGATCTTACAGAAGAAGCAACAGGATAGTAAGAAATTGGCATCACTGTCGATCCAAAAGGAGAAACGTGCTAATGAACTAGAGCAAAATGTAGATCATTTGAAGTATCAAAAGGTACAGCTGCAAAAGAGACTTCGAGAAGAAAATGATAAAAGGAGACAACTGAATGCAGAAATTAAGCAGGATCAGCAAAAAATCAAAGTAATATTGCCGTACATTCCTGCTAAGTATAACGTGAAGTGTCAAATGGCTCAGAACTAACAGAGCCGGGGTCTTGATTCTGTTGTGAAGTATCTGTCCTTGACCTGTTTGTCCTTCATTGCTGTCCTTACTCACTTTAAAGCTTTGTTCATCTACATAGTACAGTAAAACCTATTTATTGAATTTTGAGTACTGTCTTGAAGGCTTTGACTTCACAAAAGAAAGTACAGTGATAAAATTTCTCCTAGCAGAATATTAGCTGTAGCTGATGCTGGCCACAACATAATTTTATAAAGCTGACTTCTTTTTTTTTTTAAAGCTGACTTCTAAATGACGTTTGAATAGGAATTCCTGTTTTCAGAGTGCTGTGACTTGCATTGTCCATGTGGCTACATGGAAAAAAGTACCAGGTGAAATGGAACCATTTCATTCCTAGTGAGCGGAAGAGAGTCTGCCCACAATTACATAGCATATATCACTCTGGGGAGGAGCAAGTAACAGCAGCCTGGGCTCTGGAGCTGGACCAGTGTGAGTTCAAATCCTAGCTCTCATAGACGATGGCTGTGATTTGTTGAGAAAATCACTCTCTTCTGACTGTTCCTTCTTCCCTCCAGTGGCCTCAGTCATGCATGTCTCACTGGGCCTCTCTGAAGTAGATGATGATGATCGTAACAAACACTGATCTAGTGCTGTTTGCTAAGCTCTGTTGGGTTCAGACAATCAAAAGATCCCAGGGCCTAGAACACAATTGGAGACTTACTAGAAATTTTTTTTTTTAAGTAAGACTTTGTTTTTTTAGAGCAGTTTTAGGTTCACAGAAAAATTGAAAGGAAGCTACCCACTCTCTCCACACATCACAGCCTCCCCCACTAGAGGCACCCCCCCAGGTTTGCTAGATTTTAAACATTGGATATCACCCACTTTTAGACTGTAAAAAATAAAAATCACAGAATTTAGTTGTGGGAGGAATCTTAAAGAGCATTTACTAATTTTTTAAAAACAATGTCTCTACAATTCACCCATTTATTTTTTATTTTAATGTATTACAAGTAGATATTAGTAAAGAAAATAAAAGCCATTCTATGAAAAAATAATTTTTCATAACAAAAATTATTAGAAAATAACCATGGTAAATACACTGTGTATCATGATCTTAAAAGAAGATATTTTCATTTGCTAATTTATCCCTCAGCTCATTTCCTAATAATACTATACCTTTAATTCACCCATTTGAAGTGAATAATTTGGTAGGTTTTTGATATATCACATTATTAAATTTTGTAAGCTGTGGTAATATATATATACAACGTACAGTTTATCACTTCAGGCACTTTAAATGTACAATTTAGTGGCATTAATTACATTCATAATGTTGTACAACCATCCCCCCTGTTTCCAAAACCTTTTCATCATCCCAAAGAGAATCTCAAACCAGATCAGTAATTTCCTATTCTTCCTATCCTCCAGTCCCTGATAACCTCTAATCTATTTTCTGTGCCTATGAATTTACTTTCTCTAGATAAGTCATGTAAGTGGAATCCTATTTGTCCTTCTATGTCAAACTTATTTAACTTGTCAAATTGTGTTCAAGTTTCATCTATATTGTACCAAGCATCAGAACTTCATTTCCTTTTGTGCCTAAATAATATTCCATTGTAAATCTGGGAACAGTGGTGTGTTAGTTCTAGCTACTCAGGAGGCTGAGACAGGAGGATCTCTTGAGTCTGAGAGTTCACAGCCAGCCTGGGCAATATATGAGCCAGAACCTATTGAAAAACAACCTACTGTGTGACTGTAGCACATTTTGTTTATCCACTCCATCAGTGGACACTTGGATTTGAAGTGCTCTCATCACAAAAAACAAAACAGAAATATGTGAGGAGCTGGATATGTTGGTAGCTGGACTATAGCAATCATTTCACTGAGTATATGTATATTAAAACATCACATTGTATACTTTATATATGTATGTTCATTGATTTTTTTATTGTTGTGGCACCAAGGATCAAACCCAGTGGCACTCTAAAACTGGGCTACATTTCCAACCAACCCCTTTTGTTTTTTATTGTAAGATAGGGTCTCACTAAATTGCCTATGCTGGCTTGAAACTTGCTATCCTTCTGCCTCAGCCTCCCAAATTGCTGGGATTATGCTCATACACCACCATGCCCAGCTATGCATAATTTGATCTTTAAAAAATCAGTTGGCAGGGGCCAGGATTTAGCTCAGTGGTGCTGCTGCCTGCCTCACAAGTGCAAGGTCCTGAGTTCAATCCGGTACCAAAAATAAAATCAATTTGCCATGGGTATATAATTTCTGAACTTTTCATTCTCTTCCACTGGCTTATCTCTATTCTCATGCCAGCACCACATTATTTTGATTACTGTAGCTTTATAGTATAATTTTGAAATCAGGAAGTAACTTCAGTAACTCCAACTTTGCTTTTTTTTTGTTATTGCTTTATTATTTAAATTTAAATTTTGGGAAGGGTGTTTGCGATAGGGTGTTGCTATATAGTTCAGGCTGGTCTTGCGCTATGTAGCCCAGGGTGTCCTTAAACTTACAGCATTCCTCCTGCCTCAGTCTCCCAAGTACTGGGATTATAAACATGTGCCACCATGCTCAGCTTGTTGTTGTTTTAGTAACTTTTTTTTTTTTGCGGTACCTGGGATCGAACTCAGAATCTTGCACTTGCGAGGCAGGCACTGGTGCCACTGAGCTAAATCCCCGGCCCATGTTGTTGTTTTAAATAGGTGGTATATGTAGTTCACCCCAACCTAGAACTTTATAGCCTAGGCTGGTCTTAAACTCACAATTCTCCTGCCTCAACCTCCCTAGTGCTGGGACTATAGGTGTGTGCCACCACGCCTGGCAGCTTTGCTCTACTTTTCCAGTGTTCAAGGACCTTGCCATTATATATGAATTTGAGGATCAGCTTTTCTATTTCTGCAAAAAAGTCTGTGGGAATTTTGATAGGGGTTGCATTCAATCTGGATTTCTGAGTATATTGATATCTTGACAATATTATCTTCTTATGCATGACCATGGGCTACCATTCCACTTACTTAGGTATTCTTTAATTATTTTCTACAGTGCCTTCTAATTTTCAGTGTACTAATCTTTTACTTCCTTGGTTAAATTTATTCCCAGATTATCTTATTCTTTTAGGTGATATTGTAAATGGAATTGCTTTCTTAATTTTTCATGAACTATTCTTAATAATAGTAGTGACTTGTTATAGGTAATAGTAATAATTTATATTCTTACAGTACTAAACAGATGTGTAGCTTAATACTCTTTTCTCCTATATTTTTTTACTTTTGCCTTTCCCCTATATTCTGTCTTTAAAGATTTTAGATTTATGTCATCTTAAAATTATTCTCTTTCAACCATACTTCCCTCCGTTTACTCCAAAGTTCTCGGCAAAGTTGACATTTGTTTCTATTTCTTCTGCTCCCATTCATTCTCCTATTCTCTTTATTCTGGCTTTTGGTCTACTTCAAAGCTCTTAAGAAGTTTCATAGTGCCCTCTAAGCCACCAAAATCCTTATTTAAAAAATTTTTAATGGATGCATAATTGTACATATTTATGGGGTACAGTGTGATTCTGATGTTTTAGAGTAAAGTCCTTACCTAACCACTCAGTTGCATTCAGCCCAGATCACTACTCCTTCCACCTTGAAATATTTTCTTTCCTCTTTGCCTTTGTGACATTTAATCCTCCTTCTCCGTTCACCCCCTTCTTACTGCTCTTTGCTGTAGTTGTGAGCTTATCTTTCCCTATCAGTCCCTCAAGTAGGGCCTATGACCTCTTCTACTCTCTGTCTTAGGTGACTTCATCTTTTTCTGGGACTGCAGATAAACTGACATTTCCAGATTTAATCCTTATTCCCAGATCTGTCTTTTGAGCTCCAGATTATATGTTATCCAGCCATCTACAACTTCATTAAATTGTCTTGTAAATAAATTTACAACCTTCTTAACTTCCCACTATTCCCCCACCCTGCTGTGTTCATGGGGGAGAAACTGTAGTTCTCTAGTGTGCCTTAGATGGTGTATTGATCCACTCAATTGGGTGAACTAGAAATTCAGGAGACACCATTGATTTGGTCCTTTTCCATTTCTCTCATGTCAAATGAACCACTAAGTCCTACAGAATATATCTGCCAAATATCTTGAATTTGTTCAATTTTCATTTTTACTGCCAATAATCATGCCTCCTTGTTAAAGTCCTGCCTGTCAGTCTTGTGGATTTGGGATTCAGGTCTTCATCTCTTATGAGATATGGCCTAACATAGCACTCTCTTAATGCTTAGGGAAAAGAAAACTCTTGTTAGGAGTGCATATATATTGAAATGCAACTCTGCCAGTAATGTACACCTTTTATGTTCTTACCTAGGGCAATTTTGTTCCTTCTAGCCATATCTCTAATTCTAGAGAAATGGCCAAGTTTATGGAGCATAGCAGGTGTTCCAGGAAAAGGGCAAGAGTGCCCCAAAGATATATGTACATTTTTACTCCTTCATGCAAAGACAGAAAAACCTGCTTATAGTCCTAAAGGACATCTTGATGTTTGGAGCTAACTTTCCAACACTCCAGGTTGTCCATTTTCTATTTGACTAACCCATTTCAAGAGAATACTATGACTTCTGCATAGGTTCTCTTCAAAGCAGCAGTTTGTAACAAATACGTTTAAAAAACTGTGGCTTGCCGAGTGAGCTGGCACCTGCCTGTAATCCCAGCACTTGGGAGGAGGATCAACGCAAGTTTGAGGCCAGCCTTGACTCCATAGTGAGTTCAAGGCCAGCCTGAACTCACATACATAGTATGACTTTGTCTCAAAAAAACAAAACAAAACAAACAAAACAAAAAAGAGCTGTGGCCAGTGGTATTATCTTGGGTTTTTAACTTCTCTAAAGCACCCATTCCCTGAGGGCTGGGACTGTAGCTCAATGTAGAGGCACACCTAATATGCCTCAGACCCTGAGTTTGGTCCCCAG